CACTCCCTCGGGGAGGCAGAGACAGAGGGATCTCTGTGGGTTCAAGGCCAACCTGGTCTGCAGCACCAGGACAGGCTCTAAAGCTACAGAGAAACACTGTCTCAAAATCAATCAATCAATCAATCAATCAATCAATCAATCAATCAATCAAGAATACCAGTTGATTGGGCACCCCAGTCTTTGTTCCTTTTGTGGCCTCTGAGCTACCTGATGTCTAGGGCCTGGCAAACACAGGCAAAGCCTAGAGAAATGCTTTCCTGAACCTGTGGTCAAGACAGTGGTGCCCAGAAATGATGGGGGTGCTCTGGGAAAATGGGAGTGAGCTGAAGAGCCAGAGACCCTCTCTACAGCTTACCTAGCCCTCCAGGGGAGGACCAGGAGGCCTCCCCTTCCTGGGCTGTGTGTACAGACAAGTGTGAACATGTACTGTGAGTGGGTAGGTATACAAGCATTCATGTGCGGGCATAGGATTATGTATTTGTATGTGTGTATATGAACATGTGAGTGGAGACGTGTGTGAGGGCCGTGTGTGTGAAGGGTGCTGAGACTTCAGCCAAGGTCCCAGAGTCCTTATGGAGACAGGACAGCGAGGCTTCCAGCAGAGTGGGTGGGAAGAGTCCTGGAGCTTCAGGAAGCAGGTGTAGCTGCCCCAGGTAGGATCCTGGAAGAAATTTCAAAGGTTTTGAGAGTAATGGAAGGAGAGGGAGGGACCCATCCCTCCCACCTCCCTGTGCTGTGGCACGGGCTCAGGGGAGCCTGGGAGTTCCGAGACTTGAGGCATTAGTCAGGTGAACAGACTGTTCAATCCTGTGCTTTGTGAGCCCGTTTGTGAGGAGCTGGGGAAATGCCAGTGCACCTCTCTGTGAATGAAACGACCTTCACCACCAAGTCACCGGAGCGGCTTTTATCCCAAGGGCACAGAAGGAACATTGCAGAACTGGGGACAAAGCAGCACTGTGCCCTAATCCCTGTGTGTGTGCCATCTGTGCCATGGTGCTGAGGGCTGAGTGCAGGAGTCACAGGTGACTGGACTTGGGACAGGGTGGGGACAGAGGAAGCAGCCGAAGCCAGGTAACAAGGCCCTCTGACCTGCTAGGTTCTAGGTCCTGGGTGTGAGGGAGGGGCCGGGCTGGAAGAGATTCTCACACTAACACTAACGGGGGCCCCCAAGTGAGACCATAAAGCCCCTCAATTTCCCATCAGCCTCGTGGAGGCTCATGACTTGGCTTGCCTTTGCCTCCAAACAGCAGATAAAGGCAATAAAACACGGGTATCTGATAACTTGATGGAAAAATGGTGGATCTTCTTTTAAAGACAGAGGTTCAGCAGGGGATGGTGGCACACACCTTTAATCTCAGCACTCAAGAGGCAGAGGGAAGGGATCTGAGTTAGAAACCAGCCTGGTCAACATAGTGAGTTCCAGGCCAGCCAGGACTATGTGATGAGACCTTGACTTAAAACAGTAAAACATAAAAGACAGGGTTCCATGTAGCCCGGGCTGGCTCCAGACTCACTGTGTAGCTAAGGATGGGTATGAGCCACCATGCAATCAAACTCAGGGCCTGTGCCTATTAAGCGAGCACTCTACCCACTGACCCATACCTTCAGCCTTAAGCAGTGGTGTCTTTGCATGAGCAAACCCTAGTGATGGGAACAGAGCCGAGGGCTTGGCTTGCGAAGGGTGAAACCTACCCTGATTGAGTTCCCAGGGCTCACTGACATCTCATCTGCCCCATCTAAGATCTGCTGGAGTGCCTGAAGAACCAAAGCTGCAGGATCTCCATGACACAGGGCAACAACAGGACATCGGAGAGGAGTCCCCATGAGGACCTGGTATCGATAGTGTAGCAGAAGACAGAGGCCTCGAACCCATCCAATGACTCAACGCAATGGACATTGCAAGCAAAACTATTGGGACAAAAGAGCTGCAAGATTTTTTTTTAATTTTTACTTTTTATTATTTTTATTTGTTTTTGTTTTCTTTTGTGGGGGTTGCAAGGGTGGAGGGTGGATATGGAAGGATGGGGAGATGAGTGGGATCGGGGTGCATGATATTAAATTCACAAAAAAATCAGTAAAAAGGTTTTTAAAAAAGAAAGATGGACACACATTCCAACATGCCAAGCTTTTAAAGACCAAGACAGCATTCTCTCCATAGAGAGGTGCAGTGCTGTTTACTGTCCCAGAAGCCTTCAGGAGTTAGCACAGAACAAGGCAAGCGCCTCAGATGGGAGTGGAAGCCTCACTCACCGAGCTGTGTCAGTTACCAGGAGTCTCTCCAATTAAAACATGCGTTCATTGTCATCTTATTATTGTTTTGGGACATTATTTATTTTATCATGTAACTCTAGCTGACTTAGAACTGGCTATAAAGACCAGGCTGGCTTTGAACTCACAGAGATCCATCTGCCTTGGCCTCCAAGTACTGATATTAAGGGCAAATGCCATCATAGCCTACTCAACATTAAAAAAATAAAACATTAAAAAAAAACAAAAATCCCCAAGAGTTGCTTGCTGTGTGTTCCCTACCCTCACACCTCCCCTCAGGTGAGTGAATTGAAGCTCAGAGCGGATGGCTCAGGCAGGGCCTGGTGTCCCACCCAGTGACAGTCAGCAGCGCACAGCCCTTCTTCATGCTTTCTCTGTATGTTGATCAATTAGTAGGGCTTGTCATTTCTGTCTCCCAACCCATGGGGGACAGAAACACACATGCATGTCTGCAGAGGGAGGTGGGCCCAGGGAACCAATGGAACCAACCTAGGACACTGAGAGACCTCCACCGGGACCCTGGAGCCCCGTACTGATCCAGCAGTAACTAACTAGCAGTAGGACACGGGGCTGGCCTTAGGACAGATCGGGGAGCTCGGAGAAAGAGCAATGGAGCTGCCTGGAGTGGGGAGCTCCAAACCATGAAACCATGAGGTTTCAGCCAGGAACTCGGGCCCCCTGGCTCAGGGCTCTCCCAAGGAGTGGGTGGGGCATCCTAGCAATAAATCCGTGTATGGCACATCCTTGTGTGCCAATCTTTGTACACCTGGTCTGTTGTCAACTTGGTTACATATGGAATTAACTAAAACACGCGCAGTTGGACACACCCGTGAGGGATTTTTTTTTTCTTAATTAAATCATTTTAAGTGGAAAGACTCACTTTTAGTACGGATCTTTGAGGTGGGAAGACCCACCACCTTTAATCCGGGCTACACTGACTGGTAGCAGCAGCCTATATAACGATATGGAAGGTTTGCTCTCTTTGGGCTGCTTGCTCTCACTCCTGCTGGCGAGCCCATCCCTTCACTGACATCAGAGCCTACTTTTTATATATAGTCTGTCAGTTCTGTCCTCTAGAGAATCACAATACACCTGATTACCACTGCTTGCTGTTTACAGTAGAACCCCCTCTCCCCGCCTCCCATACTCACACAGTGGAAGCCCTCTGCCCATAATGCCACCTCCACCCCTCAAAGAGAGGGTTGAAGATCAAACTGTGCTGGTGTTGAAGAAGACAGGGTGGCACAGCTTAGCCAGGTCACGGGCCTATCTCATTTCCCTGAGAGCCTGAAGCAATGCAGACAGCTTCTAACCAGGGAATTGAGCATTCTCTCCAGATTCTTTGAGGTGGGAAGCAGCTCATTGTGGGAGGGGGCCACCCCTAGGCTGGTGGTCCTGGGTTCTATAAGCAAAGAGGAAATGGTGGCCCATGCCTCTAATCCTAGCCTAGCACCCAGGAGGCAGAGGCAGGCGGATCTCTGTGAGTTGGAGGTCAGCCTGGTTTACATAGTTCTGGGACAACCAGGGCTATATAGAGAGACCCTGTCTCAAAAGGAAACAGCAACAAGAAGAAAGAAAGAAAGAAAGAAAGAAAGAAAGAAAGAAAGAAAGAAAGAAAGAAAGAAACAAGGAAGGAAGGAAGGAAGGAAGGAGAGAGAGAAAGAGAAAAGAAAAGAGGCTGAACAAGTCACAAAAAGCAAGCAGGAATCCTCCATGGCCTCTGCATCAGCTCTTGACTCCAAGTTCGTGCCTTGGCTTCCTGTAATGAACTGTGAGTCTGGGTGGTAAACCAACAAACCCTCTCCTCCCCAAGCTGCTTCTGCGCGTCTCGTCACAGCAATCGTGACACTGAGACAGCCTGTGAGTCCAGTGTGTGCCCTCACCACAGGGAGCACGGAAACTCAAGCAGGCCACCCCTGGCTGGAACAGGCTGTTTCTCCCACCCTGGGGGGCGGGAGAGCCTTCATCCTAACATCTCCAGCAGATCCCCTGGACCCACAAGGCCTTGCAGTTCAAGAATGAAATAGCTGCTTCCTATCCTATTTTCTGGCCAGATCTGGTCACCCTGCCCCTGGGGCTGCTATTCGCTTGTCATTCCCAGCAGACCATCAAGGCCTGAGTGTCAGGGGCAGGGGTCAGCATGTGATCAAAGAGGACCATACTTCTGCTGGCTCTCTAAAGAGGATCTCAACACGACAGAGGCCTACTCGAGGGATGATGTCGGGGTAAGCTGCTGGGCCGGTACAAGCCTATAGCAACCCTGCCAGCACTGAAGAACACTTATGCCCATTTCCCAGGCAGTAGAATCAGCTCATTTGAGGACCAGGGAGGTCCTAACCACCCTCAGACTCCACGCACACCTCTCTGGAGGCAAAGAACCACTCCTAGAGCAGCTGGGAGGGCTGAGCTGCCCGTACCAAGAGGGTCTTCAGCAACCCCCTCCAAACAAAGGGCAAGCAACCTCCTTCCATCCCTGGCCGCAGTGGGTGTCTGGGGCTGAAACCAGGGACCACAGTAGAGCCTGTTTTATACCATCCACTAAGGTTTCAGGCCTTCTTTATATGCTTTCTCGGTCTATCAAGAAGACATAGCGACCCTGGACCTGAAAGCAAGCAGAGGAGTGGACAACGGGCAAGTGGCCATGCCCTCAACTTGGGAATGTGCCCCTGGCAGGAGGGAGCGGTCAATGAGGTGGGGGGTCCCAGAAGGACACCAGGGGGTAGACAGGAGCCTGGAGTTGTAACTTTATTTCATGCCTTCCTGTGGCCACCCAGGGCAGAGGGAGGCAGGTCTGGCTGTGGCTTGAGTCCCGTCACTGTGGGGGCCAAGCTGGGCTGGCATAGGCAGAACCCACTGGTTTCACATTTTTCTGGGTAGGTGTGGGCACCAAGGGTGGGGCAGGCAGAAGGGCACATGGTGGCCCCATCCTCGAGGTGGTTCAGTGTGCATCTGGGTGGTGCCAACTGGACAGCCCAATCAGGCCTGGGGTGAGCAGGGGAGGTGAGTAGGTTTTCCAACAGACTGGGAGCATACAGTGACCAAGGAGGCTGGTGAGATTAGGAAAGAGTAACAAACAAGTCTCTCTCTCACACACACACCCACAGACACGCAAACACACAGGGGTCAGTAAAAACATGAACTAACCTCAGGCCATCACACAACACTCGGCCGGCTTCCGGTTGCACCAAAGTCAGACACACTGGAGCGACTACCCCGCCCAAAGTCAATGAATATTCCTTCAGAGTCTGAGTCCACGGACTCCAGGATCTGGTCCACCAGTGTCTCAGGGCTGGAGGTGGGTGGGGAGCCGTGGGCTGGATCCTGCTCGGGGGAACGGGCAGGGGGGTACAGTCTGCTGGGGCAAGGCCCCGAGTGGGGCGTTGGAGAGGACCTGTAGGTCCCCGAAGGGCCCTGGCCAGGTGTGTCCACAAAGCCCTGGGGCTCAGGACAAGATGTCATCTCAGAGACCGAGTGCCTGCGGATGCTTGTACCACCGGCCGCTGTGCCTTCCGCTTCGTGCTCGGCCACGGGATTGAGCAGGGGCGTATTGTAGCTTTTGGAGCGCACCACCGGGTTCTTGGCTAGGACGTCCCCAGAGCGGGAGCGGCGCAGGAGCCGTTTCTCTGCAGGAACAGACACAGTCACACACCAGGATGGTGGCTGCTGACCCACATGGTCCCTGTATGTCCCAAGTCCCACCTTTGGGTAGAGGCTTCGGGTCAAGTGTCTAACCCACCCAGTAAAAGGCTCAGTGGCTGCTAGTTCTGAATCGGCCTCAGCAGTCCAGGATACAAGCCTCCTGCCAAGGCTGGAGAGAACTTTAACATTCCCAGCCTCGACCTGAACAGGCAGTAGGACCTCAGCTGCCCAGGTTCAAATCTGCAAGCTGTCAGTGAACTGTGAATGACCCCACATCAGTCATACAGTCATATCTCATTGTTCTCACCCACAGAAGCCTACGGATCTTAAGTACCAGTGCTTTCCTAGGTTAGACTGGGCTCCCATTCTCACAGGCTGGCACCCAGGGGTGCCTGCATGGAGGAGCTGCAGGGTGGGCAGTGCTATGAAGCAGTTTTTTACAGGCCTCCCTGGCTGTGGAGACACAGACTGTATGGAGTGAGGACAGAGCAGAATGCCTTTGACCATGTAGGCTTCCATGCAGGACCCTGCAATGTCCCATAGTGGCCATGAGGTGGCACTCCTGAGTACAGCAAGCTGCCAGGGAGCCTCTCTGGATCAGGAGGGGTTGCCTTCTTGACCACCAAGTATCCCGCTGGTCCTTGAAGGTGCAAAGCTCTCCCATTCTAACTTGCCTGAGCTGAGGCACACCCAGTATTAAGGCTTTACACCCTAGGTAGTGGCCCGGATGAAGGGGAGCCTTCCAAGTGAACCCATCTGGTCTGTTCCTATGATCTAGCTTGCATCTCCTCCTGCAGGCCAGTGGTCATGATGGGGTCTCACTGAAACATTTCCCTGCTAGACCAGAACTGTGAATGAGGGTGCGGCTTGGTCTCTGGGCTGACATGCAGCAGGTGCCCAAATGACATTGCTGAATGAACAAGGGATGGCACAGCTGGCTTCTGAGGGACCCACCAGGCTCTATAGGGCCTACTTTCACCTCATCCCTCCCTGAGACAGTACACATGTGACATCTAGGGAATGCAGGAGGCTCTCTGCATGGTGGGTCTTTGCGGGAGAGTCACACTGTTCTGGGGATTGCCTGCTACCCTCCAGCACCCCGTCTCCACTGAGGGTCAAGGTCTGCACAGGGCAGGGCCAGGCAGGTGCATGGGACAATTGGCTGTGTAACTGTAGCTGGGCTCCTGTGGGATCCTGGTTTTGCCCACACCATTGCCCCAGGCAGCACCCACCGAGGATGCAGGAATGGGTGCAGGGCCCTTCGCTGGAGTAGAGGCCATAGGTGCCCAGGTACGGCGACACCACCTTCTGGATTAGTGTCTCCAGACGCAGGTAGTCTTCGGTCACACCCCGGGACTCATGTACCCCCTGCAAGAGAATGGAGGCCACACACCCTGGTCCAGCAGCAGCTTGTCTCGGCCCCATTTTCCCCAGGTGGGACCGCAGACAGGCAGCTGCTGCTACAGTCTCCTCCATGGCTGGGTGCCCTAGAGTCGCATAAGGTGATTAACACCGAAGTCATGGGCACTGGTGTCCTCTGAGACAGCTGGCCTTACCCAGGAGCATCGAATTCACCACCGGAAGTCCTGCAATCACTGCTCACGCCTGGAGGCCGGGGAGGGGGTGGACACAGGCAGGAGAGGATGCCCATAGGGTTAGACAGGTCAGCCCAAGATCCTTTTGAGATAAGGTCTCATGATGTGTCTTAGGCTGCCTTGATCATGAGATCCTACTGCCTCTGACTCCTGAGGGTTGGGACTGCAGGTGTGTGCCACCATGCCCTGCCCACACACTTCTGTAAATTTTATGAAGCCACATCTCCCCCTGCATACGGTACAAATCTGACCCACACATGGTTGCTAGTGTGACTGGCACCCTACCACTCGGACTCCCAGCAGAAGCTGTGATCCTGGGGGCGAGGCAGGGGACACAGTAGGCTCTCGATACACATTGACCAGCAACTGTGACCTCCGAATAACTCAAGACTTGAAACAGTGAGGGCCAGATTCACCTGGGGACCAACGTGAGGTCAGGAGACAAGTTCACAGCAACCTTGGGGTAAGGTCACTCCACCTGGGGAGAGGCGGCAGGCAGGTGGGGCAATGGAAGCCTCTGTGGTAGAGAGGCTATGCTGGGATGCAGACCATAGTGGGAAAGCTGCAGGAGACACAGTAGCCAGCAGGTGGCAGCACAGCCCTGAGCATTGGTTGCCGCCTTGGCCACAGCACCAGAGAGACCTGAACTTCCTTCCATCTCTCAGCCATCCTGCTGGGCCGGAGCCAGTCTATGAAAATCCCACCCAAAGGCTTGCACTTGGCTTCATTCCAAGGTGACCACAGTCCCAAACCCAGGGCAGGCCCTGGACCCTGCAAACTACAGCCTGTTCCTTGCTCTAAAATCTTTACCATTTCCTTCTGCCCCTAGACCCCACCCCACAAACCCTAATTTTAAAAGGATTTCCACACATATGGGGGACTCATTACAACAAGGCTTTTGATGCCTGTGAGCATCCAAGTGAGGTCGCACACCCGCGAACAGTAAAATGTTTCCCTGTCAGTAAAATGGGGTAGTTGGTGGTCCCTCTAAAGTCCTGTAAAACCTGCATGTTGTGAGAACTCAGTGGGTGAGCTGGACAACTAAGGGGATACGTCAGATGTAGGGCACATGAGCTGCTGGTGGCCCGACCCTTCTCTGTCCTGGGGCACGTCCCTTTACTCCAGCTGAACTAGCTGCCCATTGTTCCTTCTCCAGAACTAGCCTTGCTGATGAAGTTCATCTGTACCAAGTGTCTGAAACCAGTGTGTGTCTGTATGCTCGTCTGTATATCCAGCCCTGGAAACCAGCGTGCGTGTGTGTGGGTCTGTCTGTCTGTATATCCAGCTCCAAAAACCTGTGTGTGCGCGCGCGCGCGCAGGCGCATGCATGCACGTGCACGTACACACACGCGCATTCCCTTTTCCAGCCCCGGTAACTGAAGATACAAAAGCCAGCTGCTGCCATGAGTAATTGTGGTTGTCTGGTTCACATCCTGGCCCAAAGGCCTTACTTGCCCACTCCCTGCCCAGTTGGTCTCTATCATCTCCCAGTCTTGGGGTCCTGGGTCCCCAAACTCTCGTCCCACCTGCAGTACCAGCAGCATCTGTGCGATGGCAGGGGGGACGCGTGCGTGGGAGCGGGCCAGTGCGTCCTCCAGCTTCACACTGAGGGTGATGGTGTTCCGAAAATGCAGCAGGGCAAGCTGACGCACCGACGGTTCCTTGCCCTGTGGACACAGGCAGAGGCAAACTAGCCCCATTTTTATCATGCAGTTTTATCTCTCTATTCCAGGTCAGGGGAGGGATGAGGGAACAGACCCTAGTGACACCCAGCCCTTCCCCCATTCCATCTCCCACACGAACCCTGCCACCAAGATATAAGATGTAGGGCCCAGCTCTGCCACTAGGCTTCCCCTCTCCAGGCCAGGCTCCACTGGGCTGTAAGGGACATCCCGGGTTAGTGCAGAGGAGAGCATCAGGCCTGGAGTCCTCCTTGTTGGAGCTATCCCAGGTACTCGCAGTATGTCCTGGGCAACTGGGACTCCCCTAACGTCCATGCACCCAGTCATATACCTGTACAGGGTAGAAGATGGCCTGCAGCGTGGGCAGCACGTCACTGAAGAAGAAGTCCCAGGTCTCCGCCAGCGAGTCTAGCAGCTTCTGTCCTGTGGGCGAGAGGAGCCATTACAGCATGTCCTGAACACACCGGCAGACCCATGAGGACAAGGGGCTAAGCAGCAGTGGGAGGTCCCTGAGGCCTTGCAGAGGGCAGCTCTGTCACCCTGAGCCTCTGTGAAGTGTGTACAGGAGACCGCCTACAACCTGGAGCAGACGGGACACAATGAGGCTAACCCATGAAGGTACTCAGCCCGGGTGACGGTGAAGGCTGGCACTCATTCCTGTCCTGAGTATGCCTGCACAGGCGTTGGCACAAACCCTTCATCAGCTTCCCTCTTCCACACGCATCCACTTAGAGAACCCCTCACTGGTACAGGCCCAATCTTGGGCACTGGGGACAGTCAAGCCCCCTACTATGTGGCAGGGAAACAGGATACAGAACAGCTGTGGGAAGACAGTGGGTACAGGGTAGAGCTTCCAGGGCCCGTGACCTGGGGTGCAATCTTTGGTTCCCTCTCGAGGGCCCAGGCCTACCTGTGGGACATGGAGCCAAGGACTGGCAGGGAGGGTTCCTTGGAGGAGTTGTCTGGCATCTGAGCTGGCTTCTCAGATGGATATATGTTGGGCATGTGACATCCTCCCCCTACCCCACCCTTTTCCCACCTCTACCAAGAGAAAGGAGCAGCTGTATGGGGAACCGGATAAGCTGCAGGGACTCAGCTGGCCTCCGGCAGAGTGGCACCACCTGCCACTGGGGAATGGGGCACCTAACTGTGGTCACCAGGGTGGATGACTGAGACAAACAGTCACTGGGTCTAGGAATGAACAGGTCCAGCATGTGTCCCATAGGCCTCTGTTGCTATGTGGGTCTGAGCAGAGAGGGGGTGGGATCCTTGACTGTTGACCAGCCTGCCTGTGTCCAGGTTTCTATAAAGGAAGCCTGTGAAGGTCTTTGCCCAGCTTTCCAGTTATTGTGAAACTTTCCCTCATGGAAAACCCCAGGTTCATACAGAATGAGAACATGGAGGCACAGAGAGCTGGCCTCAGGAGCAGGCTGGCCTCTGAGTGTGGCCGCCCAGGGCTGCCTGCCGGCGGTCCCGGGTGGCCCACACCTGGCTCCAGGGGCCAGGAGGCTGCAGGAATGCCCGGGGCAGGCGGATGCTCACAGCCCCTCGGAGCCCTGCCTGAACACAAAGTCCCTTCAGTTCCTGCCATCATACAGGAAGAAAGACTGTTCAGTCCTGGCTGGTTGTGGGGTGGCCCTGGGCGCCGGCCAGGGCAGTGTGCCACCAAGTGAAGGTCGTCCTCCAGCCCACAGGGCGGACACACCACAGAAAGCAGATGTTGTAAGACACAGAATCCAGGCCCCAGCTGGAGCCATGTGCTGTCAGGGACCCGGAAGGATAGCCTGGTCCCTGGCTCGGCTCTGGCCTGGGACTGCGGACTAGACTGTGTGCTGAGGAGTGGGGTCGGCAGAGGCTGAAGTCAGACACAAAGGCTGACGCCTTGCTCTGTGGTTGTAGAGGAGCCCTAGAAAGTTCTTCCAACCAGACCTAGTGGCACCCTCTATGTAAAGAACAGGGTAAGTCCCTAGGGATCGATGACAAGGTACCCTGTGTTTGCTGCTGGTATGACACAGCCAGCCAATGTGTGTACCCTGCCTGGGCCCCAGTCAGAGGTGGAGCAGAGAACTTTGGTGAAGGGCCAGGCTGAGGATCCATGAAGGCTTTCACTGGGCAGTCAGTCTCCCCTTTTAAGGGGCCACAGGGTGGTAAGGACAGGAGAGAGGTAGGCGGGTACAGCTCCAATTCACAGGCTCCAGGGACGGCTATGACCACAGAGAAATGATGGAGGTGGGGGCTAACGTACAGCAGGGGCATGGGCACAAGCAGGCAGGCAGCCAGGGAGAGAGGAGAGGTCGCTGGGTGCACAGACATATCAGCTACGCTGAGTTTGGCTTCTGGGTGAGAAGACACAGACCCCGGCCCCGGCAGCAGCGGACCTCTGTGGTCTCTTGAGTGTCGAGCTGGGAACCTTCTATGAAGTGTCAGGCTATTCCCCTGCAGAGAGCACTCCCGTTCCAAGTGGCTTCCTGCAACCATTCCTAGAACCACCTAGTTTGGGAGATGACTACGGAGGCCTCACAGGAGGCTGCAGAGAAGGGGGCAGGTGCCCCAGGCTTTGGACTGCCCTCTGGAGGCTACCACCTCCATGTGTCCCCTCCAGCAGCTACAGGTTGAGGGCACAGCTGGCTTCAGGGAACAGGGGATGAATTTCCTGAGGTGGAGAGGGGCTGGGATGGCTGACCCACGGGGCAGTAGTGTGGCTGTAAGGGACAGATAAACGCCTGAGTTGACCACACTTGGAGACCACATTCAGGAGCAGCTCCACAGCTCCACTCACAGCTCACCCTGCTGCGAGGATGGAGTCACGCTTCCTTTCCGGGAGTTTCCCTTCACCTGACATTCATCACACTGACCTGTCAGCATCTGGTTTATGTCTCAGTTCTCATAAGTCCCTGCAGGGCAGGGCCTGTATCTTTTCTATCTCCAGGTTGAGGGAGACTCCCCCGGAGCCCTGGCTTGAACACAGTTGGTTCTTTGCTACAGTAGTTAAGAAAGGGGCCCTGAGGGCAGGGCGGCTGCAATATGTGACAGCCAAGATGTATTCACAGACGCCTGGAGCTTGAGGCTTTCCCTGGGCCTAGAGGTGGACAGTACTTGTCAGGGCAGCCTTTCCCCTTTCCCTGGGAGGCCCTGAGTCACAGTCATGAGGCTCCACAGGCCTCACAAAGCTTCCCTTCTCCCAGGACCTGGTTCCCCTGGGCTGCGTTGGTGGGAGGCACAGGCACCTCAGGGAATGTGCTGAGTCAGGCGGGTCAGGAGGGTGTGGGAGGCCTCTTCCTCAGGTGCCAAACATTCACCATCTTAGGGCTTGGCTGCTGCCTCCTCCAGGAAGCCCCCTGGACCTTGGCTGCCCTGGGCCTCCTGCCCACACCCAGTTCTCATTCTTGCCTTGGCCTGCCTTAGCTGAAACATAGAGGAGGACGATGGGGAACAGGCGGTCCCTTGGAATGAGGCTGGACTCTGGGCCTCAGGACCCCACCCCTGAAGGGGCTGACAGCCATCTGCCCAGGGCCCAGCCCCCACTTGGAAGAGGAACCCGGAGCAGCGAGTGGCTAGAGTGGGCTGCAGAGTCATCCTTCTGCTCTGCACCTGGGCCGCCACGTGTCGAGGGCGACCCCAGCAGGACTGAGTGCTTGTGGCTACTTCCCAGAGCTGCTGGGGTGCCCACCCAGTCAGCAGAAGCAAACCAACCAGGGCATAACCAAGCGGAGCACACATCTGGTGTTTGGTCCATGGGAGGCACTCAACTAACGTTCACCACAGTCAGCCAGCACAGTTAAGCACTTTTTTCTTTCTTTCTCCTTCTTCCTCTCCTTTCCTTCTTTTCTTCCCCCCCACCTCTGTCTTTCTTCTTTATTTTTCCGGGTTTTTTGATTGGTTTAGTTTCTGAGACAGGGTGTCTCTGGGTAATCCTGGCTGGCCTATAACTCACTATGTGGAACAGGTTGGCCTGGAACTCAGAGATGCGCCTGCCTCTGCCTCAAGGCGTGAACCACCACAGCCTGGCCACAGCAGGTACTTAACGAACACTGAGCATAGGTGCCAGTATACAGAAAGTGGTGCCTATAAAAGGGATGCATCCTGAAGCCAGTAAAGGATCTGGTACGGAGCAGGTGCTCACCAAATGTGCCCAGGGCCTGGCACACACAGGTACTTATTACATGCTCAAAGGGCCGGGTCCACAGCAGGAATTTGCAAAGGAGAATCTGTAGATGCAAAGACCTCTGGACACTAGCCTCACCATAGTGCCAAGTCCCTCCCAGGACCCCAAGACTATCAGACGCCAGGGGCCTCAAGTGTCGTGACCAGGAAATCAAAGTCCTCTGCTTCACGATGTGGGCCGAGCCAGGCAGGGAGGTTGGCGGGGACTGTGAAGCCCGAGAAAGGACTAGGAAGGACTGGCGGCGCCTGGTATCATACGAAGGCTCCAATTCTGCCTCGGCTCCTTCCCTGTACTGTGGCTGTTGACCTGCCATAATCTAGTTCTCTGGTCTTTGGATATTCACAGACTCAACATGAGATCTCTCAGACAATGGATGGGGTTCCTGTTAGGGTCTGGCTATAAGGTGGTCCCTGAAATAGCTTGTGTGTTGACGGTGTGGTCCACAGCCAGCAGCGCTGTGGAGGTGACTGGATCATGAGGACACAGGCTCCGTCACAGGACGGATCCACTGACCAGGTCAGAGTTGAACGTGCTTCAGGAGGTGGGACTTGGTGGGAGGAAGTGGGTTGCGGGTATGACGGTTAATGCCGTCAACATGACAGGATTCAGAACAGGAGATCTATCCGCTCTGGGTGCGAGGGAGTCTCCAGGCTGGGTTAACTGAGGTGAGAAGACCTGTCCTGGATGTAGATGCTGGTGTCCTGGACCCAGTAACAAGGAGAACGCGAGCTGAGCATCATCATTCATTTCTCTGCTTCCTGGCTGTGGGTGCCATGTGACCTGTCACCACGCTTTCCCCACCATGATGGGCTGCAGGCTCCAACTATGAACGAAAAGTCCCCTTCCTTAAGCTGCTTTTGCCATGGCAACAAGAAACACAACTGATGCACTGTCGGAGGGCCTATGAAAGCTACACGTTGCCTCTGGTCTCTTCCTGGCCAGAAGCTGTTCCTGGACAACAGCTTTGCTAAGCCACATGCTCTCCATCAGGACATTGGCTTCATCCCAGGCTCAACATGATGAGGTCTCGTGTCCCTGGACCTCTGTGAAACAAAATCAGCCCTGTGCCTGTGTGGTGGTTAGCTTGGTCAACTTGACACAACCTACAATCCCACAGCAAGAGACTCAACGAGAAAGTATCTAGATCAGGCTGGCTTCTGGGTTTGTCTGTGGGGCACTGCCCGGATTGCTAATCGATATGAGAAGACCCAGCCTGCTGTGGGTGGCAGCAATCTCTAGGCAGTGGGTCCTACACTGCGGAAGAGAGCCGAGCACGGCAGACAGCGGCACGAATGTGTTCATCTCTCTCTCATCTTGACTGTGACTGTGTGATGTCCCTGCTATGAAGGCCTATTCCCTGGAATTAATGGATGAATAAACCCTTTCTCCCCTAAGTTGCTTTTTTGCAGGGTGTTTTACCACAGCGACAGAAACGAAACTAGGGCAGGACACCCTTCTACAGTGCTAGCTTTGTCACGGTGACGGAAAGATGAGGGGCACAGTGAGACGAAGCAGAGGGCCTCTCCCCGGGGTTGTACAGTCTTCCTGGGCTCCCAAGTGGGGGGGACAGACTCTCTCCAAGGTCCCCTCTTAGTCCTGTTGCCCAAGAAACCACCTTTCTTTTCTTTCCTTTTCAGCCATCTTAACCAGAGAGCCACCCTCCCTCCCAGCACCTGCCACACCACTGTTCTAGAACATCAACCACAACCAGGCCTCAGCCCTCAGACTCACCCTCGTAGAAGCGTATCTTGTCACGAAGGATCACCATGCCCTTTGTGAGCAGCTGGTTCTGAAAGTGAGCAGAGGTGCCATCACTGGCCTGCAGCTATTTCAGGGTGGTCTGGCCCACAGGACCCCCACGACTCCACCAATAAGCAGTTGGAACATGAGACCCCCCCTCCTGCCACAGTCAAAACCCCACCCATCCTGAGAGGCAAGCCTCGAGCCTGCTAGGGCTGTCACAGGTCACATGGTATAAAGACATCCTTTGAGAAACAGACCAAACCTTCCTCCGTGGCAAGGCCCACACACCTGCAGGTACTCAGTGAAGAAGGACCCCAGCTCCGTCTTCAGCAGCTGCCTGTGGGGGAGGGGAGATTAGAATGAGTTGAGGCCATGCATTGCTAGTAAGGGCTGGCAACATACGGGCAGCTAGGGACCAACCTGCTCAGCACAGCAACACAAGCGGCATAAGAGAACATTTGCCCTCTGTGGCCCACAGAATGGCTGGCTCACTATGTATCTCCCCTGTCCATCTTACAGAAGAGACAAGCTGAGAGGGTCCCAGAGGAACCATGACGTCTTCTACTTCCTCAAACAGACACCTGCAGGCCTGACCCTGCAACACTGGGCTCCATCCACTTTCTACCTGCTTGAATCCCACAGAGGGCAGAGTCCTCCTTTCCCAAGTATTCTGAGTAGCAAATTGAGTCTTCATAGAGCCAGCGGCAGGCAGGCACTGACTGAGGCTCCGTATAACAGCCGAGGCAGGATTAGCTCAGAGAGAGTCAACTACTGGCCTGGGGTCTACAACCCATGCCAGATTAACAAAGGGATCTGCATTTTGTGAACAGAGCTGCTCATGTCTAGTGGAGTCATTTTAGTCCTGATCCTATGCTGAGAAAGCATGGCTACTGAGTGTTTGAATGAGACTGCCCCCTCCCCCAGGGGCTAGGATCCTTGAACCCTAGGGTCCACAGATGGTGTTGCTGTTTGAGGTTGTGGAACCTTCTGGAGATGGAGCCTTGACAGAGGAATTAAGTCACTGGGGCCAGGCCCACTTCCTATTTACTCTCTGCTTAACCTTAGGTTTGAAGATGTGAGCTCTCAGCTTCCTGCTTCCGCCTCCAAGCCCACCCCCGATGCTTCCCCACCATGATGGCTTCTTATCCTTCTAGAGTGCTAGCCAAATAAACTCTTCCTTCTGGTAGTTGCTCTTGGCCACACAGCCCGACATCTACAGAGTCCTCATGTGCTGAGCCACACCAAGCACGAGTCCTAACTTTTCTGGCTACTTGGGAGATGTAACTTGTCCTGAATTACGGACAGCCCTCATCACACGGCTCCGATACACACAAATCTTGGTTACTTGGGCTTGAACCCCCGCCCCCAGCAGCTTGGTCCTCTGTCACCTGCCACAGTGACTGACTACAGCATAAGCTCCTCTCCATCCTGGCTGGTGGCTGAGCACGGCATTTCCTTCAAAGCTGCGCTGTGATTGGCCTCCATCATCTGTCCTTCTGCTCACACTCAACCCAGCACGCGGCTCCATCCTCTCCTTGTCTCCCAGTAACAACCTGCACAAGACGCTTTATAAAAACAGACAAACCAGGTGCTGGCTCAGGGGTAGAACACTTGCCTTGCATGTACAAGGCCCTGGGCTCCATACCCAGAACAGCAAACAACAGAAATAAGGACAAGCCACACAGGAACTGGAAACACATGAGTGCTGAAACTTCAAACACAAGCACAAAACCTAAGAGAAAGAGGAAGTGACCAACAGAAGCAAAGCAAGTTCAGCCAGGTGAACCGGGCGCTGTTTCCACACACGAACAGGAAGCTGAAAATGCCCACATCCAAAATACACCTACAAAACCAGGTGCAGAGGCACACATGTCAGGACATCACGGTCATCCTTGGCTATATATTAAGTTTGTAGGCCAGCCTGGGCTACAAGAGATCCTGTGTCTCAAAAAGCAAATAAATGCATGTACTTCATTTAAGGAACACAACAGCATGACTGGACCCACCTTGGACATGCTCAGAACACACTCAGTCTCCCGTTGGTCCAAACTTACACGAAGTGCTGACTCAGGCAATTGTACGAATCTTGTACAGAGCATTGAAAAACAATGGCTGTGCTCCAGTGAGAAGCTCTGAACAAGCCACACTGCAGAGCCGTTCCTGTAAGGTTTGTTCATCTGCTGGTTTTAGACAAGGGTCTTGCTATGCAGCTCAGGCTGGCCTCCAGCTCACTATGCGACCTAGGCTGGTCTTAAACTCACGGTGACCAGTTGTCAGAACGAGAAACTGAAATTCAGAAGGCACACAATGTGGTCAGAGTCAGGCCCTGGGACTCAAAGTTGGCTCCCTAGTCTTGTGGATTAAAAATGTAATGGTCAGGCACACTGATGCCAGTTGTAATGCGAGCACTCGGGGGCAGGATGAGGCAAGAGGATCGCTACCAAAAGAAAAAGAAAGATGGGGAGGCAATCAGTTTTCCTCAATAGTAAACCCTCTGTGCTCTGAAGTAAGTCAACGAGAAGGTGAAGGGATATGGGATGTGGAGGAAAGATTGAAGGTAGTGCCCAATAAGGGCTTAGACTTCACAGAGGCGTCCAGTCACTTGACAATGTACCACAGGGGTATCATCATGAATGTGTTGAGCTGCACTTACAGCTATCTGGGATGCATGAGGCCTGAGGGCTGCTAATGTGGAATGTCCCTCTGTACGCTGTGAATATGTTTATTATCACTGGTTAATAAAGAAGTTGCTTTGGCCTATGGCAGAGCAGAATATAGCTAGACAGGAAAGACAAACTGAATACAAGAAGGTAGAGTCGAGGGAGATGCCAGCAACCACCGGGGAAGCAAGATGTAAGGTAATAAGCCACAAACCTCGTGGCAAAATATAAACTAATAGAAATGGGCGAATTTAAGTTGTAAGAGTTAGTTAGTAATAAGCCTAAGACACTGGCCAAACTTTTATAATTAATATAAGCCTCTGAGTAAAGCTTATTCAGGAACTGGTGGGCAGGAGAGAAACCTCCATTTACAGGCTGCAGGCTGGATACACCTGGTAGACCAAGAAACACTGAAAAAAAAGGTCAATTCACAGTCAAGACAGCTCAGCGACATGTGGCCAAGGATACAAACCAATGCTTCTCCAAAAAAGATGCATGAGCAGACAGCAAACACCCAAAAGACGCCTGACGCCATTAGAAATGCTGATCAAAGCCACAAGGAGCCACTGTGGCAGCCACCGTGCTGTGAGAATCTCAACCAGAAAGAAATGCAGTGAGAGGCAGGGACCAACCCTCACTGATCACACTGCGGGAAGCAGGAGTTTCTCCAAACTGAAACCCTGGTGCCCAGACGATCCAGACAAATGCTAAGAGAAACAATACCACACATCCTTGTAGACTCTCGAACATAGAATCTGGGTACACAAGTACAATCCTGGCACTCATGGGGCTGAAGGAGGAGAATCTCAAGTTCAATGCCAGCTTAGGTTATAGAAGTCACCAGATCCACTCTTTAAAACTGAAACCAGGCCAGGCGGTGATAGCGCACACCTTTAATTGCAGCACTCGGGAGGCAGAGGCAGAAAGATTTCGGCGAGTTCGAGATCAGGCTGGTCTACAGAGAAAGTTCCAGGACAGCCAGGGCTACGCAGAGAAACCCAGTCTCAAAAACACAAAACAAAACAACAATAACAAAACAAAACATAGCCAGGTGCCTCCAGAACCTAGGAGGCAGAGACAGGAGGATCCTGGTGAGTTCAAGGCCAGCTAGGGCTAAATGAACAGTTCCAGACCAGTCACTGATACATGAGACCTTGTCTCAAAAGAACAGACAACAAAACAAAACCCAGAACTAAATGGAAACTCCAAAACCCTTTGTACAAGGATGCTCCCAGCAGCAGCACCCAGCACCCCGTCAGTCACAGGCCTAACAGGTAATCAGATGGAGCAGAATCAGTACAAATCCGGCTCCACCACAGCCAGACCTCAAAAGCACCAAGGGAACGGCCACAGGCTGTCATGAAATGCCATTCATATGAGATGTCCAAAAGAGGGAGACAACAGGGACAGGAAGTGGACTTGCTTGCCAAGTGGGGTGAATAACGGGCTGTGGTTGCATCACTCTTTTGGGGTGATGCAAAATGAACGGAAAGTTTGGTGGTGATACACAACCACATAGGCACATTCAACACTTACCAGGGCATTTTATGGGGAATTTTATGGTATATTAATTACATGTGAATAAAAGTTCACACAGCCAGTGCCCAAGCTGCAGGTCTCTCGAGGATGGTAGCGGTGCAGGAGCATCATGGGGCTGGAAATTCACACCACTGAGCATGCCTGTACTTTCTCCATCACACACAGCACCATGTCACAGTGCCTGAGTGCTCACGACAGTGACCTGCTGGTGCCTGGGAGCATGTGGAAGGCTACACTCTGCACCACAGGTGTGCAGCTGAATCTACAATCTAGGTTTATGAAGGCACACTCTGTGATTATCTCACACGGGTGGAAGTGCCTGGGGATGCCGAGATGTCCTGTGACCAAAACACATGAGGCTCTATGTGCATAAGCATGCGTATGTACGCGCACACACATACACATATAAAGGGAGAAAAGAGTGATGCAAATGGCAGACTTCAGTTGTGACCGTCCCTCCTAGGTACAGCAGACAGACCCCTGCTCACGTCACTGACTAGCTCTTACAATGGTGGCGGGTAACTTTTGTATGTAGCCATTAATGGCTCCTTCCATAGACTCTCTTGCCAGATCAAAGCCAATGACCAGCTATGCATTCAAGCACAATCAGCTGCAGTCACTTTTCATTTGAGGCAGGGTCAAAATATGTCGGGGTGGCCTTAAACCCAATACACAGCTGAGGATGCCCTTGACCTCCTGATCTTCTCTGTCTACCTCCCCAGTGCTGAGATTACAGGCAGGAACCGCTGATGTATTCAGTACTAGGGTTGAAACCCAGGTTCCGTGTGTGCTCAGCAAACACTCTACCTACAGAACCACATTCATACAGCCTCCTGAGCCATAGACTTAGCTGATTTACTGCGGAGGAGAGCTAGAGTGGGAAGGGATGGTTCCGAACGGCTGTGGACCCTCGAGTGGAGACTTGGATTCTAGCTCAGTCATCCTGCCACTCAGATGCCAGCCGGTCACCGTCTATAAAACACAGACCTGAAGGCAAGGGCGTGAGGGCTGTGGTGACTTGAGAGGCTCAAGGCACCGCAAGTGCTCAGCACGAACCAGCACAGTGATGGGATTCACTGAGAAAATCTACTGCCATTACGTAAGGATTTCTGGCATTTTGCTCTGCGTTGGTCAAAAAGCAGCTACCCCAAGATTATCTTACGGCCTAGAACCCAGCATCTCCCATCACCCTGACTTTTACTCACTTCCTAATCAGGAGCTGGGACACAGGGTGTCTTTTCTAAACCTTACCTCCCAATCCATACTAGGGAGCAGGGCAACCCCTTAGAGCTGGAGGCCTCTTAGAGAGGAGATGGCAGCCACAATCAGAGGGCCAAGAGTGCTGGGCCCCGCCTACTTTGTGGATTTAAAGATGTCCTCTTTGCCCTCTGCATTCAGCAGAGTCTTTCCCTGTGTGTGGTGCTGGCAACAGAACCAGGGCCTCACACATGCCAGGCAAGAGCTCTTCACCAGCCAACACCAGACCAACCAGCAGATTTGGTTAGATTTGTTAAAAGAAACCTTTAGGAAAATGGGGACCCTGGGCTGGCCAGATGCGCTAGGGACACTTTGGTGCCACAAGTAAGCAATAAGCACAGGGCCTGGGGACGCACCTTGCTCCATTCTCTATTTGACTCTGGCCAGCCCCCTTTGTGTCCCGAGTCTCAGTTTACCCACACAAGGGCCTTTCAGGTGGGTGTGGGGTTGTTGACCCCTATGGGTTTACCCCTGCCTTCACGACCGAAAGGGAAGGTTCGCTGCTGACTTTCCCGGATGTACTTTGAGTCTAGGATGCTCTGGGTCAGGGCTATAGGTTAAAGCACAGAGTGGAAACACCTCACTGTGCCAGCTGCGTGGCTGTGGGGAGGCTGCACGGCTACCCTGGATTCTACGGCAGCTGCAAGCTCTCTCAAAGCCACGAGAGAGTTCCTCTGTCCTCAGCTCCCTCGCAGCTTGGTTCCCAACTAGTTGCAGGAAATGAGGGGTGTTCGTGGCTGGACTGTTTCCTGAATGGCAGTGGGTCATTAAGCAGGTGGGCCCTTCCTCTCCGACAGAATAAATATCCTTTGGAGGGCACCGGGTAGCAGGGAATGTGGACATTATCTCAGGCCACTAAGTTCCACCCTGCTGGCCCTAGAAGGGTGTCTCCAGGAGGGTGGGGTGTGGACTTCCCTCCCCCACCCCCAGTCACACACTCACCGGACACCCTCGTTGAGGATGAAGAGCTCCTGGTCGGGCAGCCCCTTGCGCTGGAAGACAGCGATCACGCCGTTATGGATGCTGTGGGCAGACAGGAGAATGGTCACCCAGAGGCACGGGCCTCTCGCTTCCCTCTGGGCCTGCCCTCTCCTGCCTTTCCGGTCCCATCCAGTCCTACTCCTGAAATCATGGGTGTGCCCATGCCCTGCTAAGACTCCAGGTCTGGGCTCCTGACACAAAGTCTGGCTCACCGGAACTTGCCAGGCATCCTGCACGCCCTTAAGTCCAACCTGGGTAGACCTTCCCTTCCTTCCTGCATGCTTTTAATCATCCCAGCCAGGACAGATATTGGGGTTCCTTTACATCTCTTCTCTCTCTGTTCCTTATGTCTTCCTAACTTTACCTCCACGCCCCAGGACTTCCAGCCCCATGATGGAGCCCCCATGAGTCACTGGGGTCCCAGCCCCCAAGCTCTTTCTAATGTGAACAGTGAAACGGACCCTGTCCAGGCCCTGCTGATTATAACTCTCTGAAGCAGGAAGCTGCAAACACTTTTCTCTAAAGGACCAGAGGGTTAGCTGTTAAAGGTCTGAGGTTTACCCAGTCTCCTGCAGCTACTCAGCTACCTGCTTCAAAACTGTGAAGTTAGGAATGTGGGACTGTATACCAATAAAACTTTATTATTCATACATCAGATGATGGACTGGGTTTGGCTCATGGACTTGCTTCAGCAGCCCTGCATGAACGTCAGGGAAACCCTGAACTGAACCTACCTAGGAATTAACCTAGACTGCCAAGGCTGAGCCAACAGCTGCCCCCGCCACAGTCAGCTGACCATTTCCTAGGCCAGTCCGGGCTGAGTTTCTGCTCAGCCCCCTCCCCTCCCCTTGGGCCCTTCACTAACCCCAGCCTGATGGGCAGTCCAAGGGGCAAGCCTGGGATGAATCCTGCTCTAGGTTCCAGACCTTGGTGTTCTCTTCCATACAATGAACTGAGTGAACACAGCTGTCCACCTCCTGGGGGCCTACAAGGCCTTTTAGGGATGGGTACTCAGGACACCTTGGCCACATCCAACCCAGGGGCCACTCCCTGTATGTTGTCTCTTTGATGTTCTAAAGACCAACAAGAGGTGGGGACAGTCAGACCACAATTAGAGAAGAAAACACTGAGGCTTAATGAAGTCAAGGGACACATCTTCTATTCAGCAGGACCAGAATTGAGATGAAGCAATGGCTCACAGTCCTCCCAATCCCATCTTTAGGGGTACACAGGTTAGATCCTGCTCCTTTTGACTCTCAGCTCTATGAGGCTCTGTGGGCTTTCCAAAGTACAAACAAAACATAACAAACAAACAAACAAACAAACAACCCTTGTCAGTTTGGAGAGGGAGGATAGAGAGGGCCAGAGGACCCCATGTGATTTGCCACCCTGAAACACAGAAGTGAAACCCTTCCTATCTCAGCAACAGCCTCCTGGCCGGAGTGACAAGTCCAGTTAGGACATCTGCAGATGGTCGGTCTCCAGGAAACCACAGGAACAGAGGGATTTCCGGGTGTGGACAGCGAAGGGCATCTTCAGGTGTAGATCCCCACCCCTCTCTAGCTTCCACTAAAAAACCAGGCTCTCAGTGCAGGCAGGCCAGACCCTAGCCTTGGAGCCTATATCACCTCACTGTGTGAACACAGGGAGAGGCAGAAGCTCAGCCTCAGGCAGATTGTCACCAGAGGAGGAACAGCCCAGTCCTGAGGCTCCAGACACTCACCTGTGGCTACCCTGGTTCCACTGAGAAGGACTGTCACCAGGAGGCTGATTTCTGCAGGGAGGTGTGGGGGCACTATCTTTCCCAGATCCCAGCCTGCTCTGCACTCCCCAGAGGCATCTGGGGCTGCGGAAATTAGTGCTTATTTCTTATTTGCCCAGGGCCCCTCCTTACTGCACCAGGAAGCTGGATGATAGGAGGCCATGCCCCCCCACCTCAGACCTGGTTCTTAACGCCCTGGTCCTAGTAAGGAAGAAGAGCCAGGAGTATCTCATGACTGCTAAAACCACTTAGTGGTCTACAGCAAGTCAGATCTGCTCTGACATCAGGGAGGCAGCGGACCCGTCACTCACCAGACTAGACTAAAGCAGAGCATGGCTACCTCCTAGGGAGGCTCCAGATGAAATGTTCTACCTTGTCTAGCTTCTAGAAGCACCTGTGTTCCCTGGCTCCGGGTCCTTCCTCATCTTCAAGAACAGTGAGGCGGGACTCTAGGTCTCAGCTCTCTGGTCACATCTCCTCAGAGTTGTCCCGCCCATCACAGAGTCTGCATAAAACCACCTAGACAGGCTGGGGGCCATCTCCTTGGGCTCAGCAACTGCAGTGTAACCACATCTGCTAAGCCTCCTAGCCACGTGAAAGCCCACACCCATAGGCTGAGAACTAGGGCGGGGACACTTTGGGGCCACTGTTCAGTTGACCACACCTAGACTGGGGCCGGGGACAGAGTAAGTCAGGGTGAGTGAAGGCCCGGAACCCTAGGACCCTAACCTGGAAGCTCTGGCTCAGTCCTCTGGTCTTTAAAGACACCATGAGGGGCTTCGAATATTTCACAGTCGAACCTGGGTGGGATCTCACACTTTGGGCCTATGTGGTCCCTGTAGTTCTCCTAATCCCAATTTTCTCATCTGTACATCAAGTATTTGAAAGCCCTTCCTAAGGTTCCCGAGGGTCCTGGAAAGACAGTTCTATCTAATGCTTGCTTCGCCCTGCCCCAGCTGGGACAGGAAGCATCCCTGGAGGCATCCCCGACACTGGGCTCCTGGGTGAGCCTGGTTCAGGTCCCAGACACTGCCATCAGGGTATCTCATTCTCTACTGACAAGAAGGACAGCCCTCTTGGGAGGAGGGCTGGGGGCAGGGACGCACACCTTCCTTTGGGGGGGCGTGTCCCACACTTTGGGGTGTATTTTCTTCTGCTCCCGTCTGCCCAGGGCTTCCACTTGCTGGGGGACAGAGGTGAGTGAGGCACTGGTTGAGTGATGGCTCAGAAGGCTAGGAAGAGACCCCCATGTGTTCCCCCAAGCACTTTGGGACTACTGTGGATTTTTTTTAAATTCTTTTATTTTTTTTAAATATTTTTAAGGACTTATTCAACTTTATTTTACCAGATCCCTTGGAACTGGAGTAACTGGAGTTGTGAGCTGGAAATTGAACCCAGGTCCTCTGGAAGAACAGCAGTGCTCTTAACCGCTGAGCTATCTCTCCAGCCCCCACTATTGTGGAGTCTTGACATCTTCGGGGAGTTTTTCTGGAACCTCTGGGCTGCGAGGCTAGGGATAGGGCATATCCTTGGCAGGTGGGGAGGCCTGTTGTGGCCTTGAGCTCTGGGAAGGCAGCAGCAGGTGCTTCGGAAACAGTTCCAAAATTCCAGGTGCTTGTGGGGGACAAGGCAGCATGCCATGCCTCTTTCCGAGAACGTCCCATGCTCCTGCACACCCAACAGACACGGAGAGCAGGGGCAGGCCTGATAGCCAGCAGTCCAGTGTCCCCTGGTCTATGTCCTCCGAGTGCTAAGTGCCACCAGTAATTACCTCCTGCTCTGGCAGCCCCTTTGTTTACTTTCTGACTCGGTCTAGGGTCTCCGGCTCTGAACAGGCTGTTTGCTGCTAAACCAAGATCTCAGCCTGGTCTAGCCAACACCGAGAAAATGAATGGATGAATGAATGGATGAATGGATGAATACATGACTGAGTACGTGGACTATTTTAGGACACAACAACACTTTGCAGGGAATTTGGGGGATGTACTCACTGTCACTATAATGCGTTGAACACTGTCCCCAGGTGTTTGTGTATACCTAAAGTTTCAAATCTGACAGGGAAAGAGGCTCTTTACAGCTATAATGGGCTAAAATCTAGAGATGAAGTGGTCCTGGGTTGAGGTGGCCCTCAATTGGTGGCTGGTGGCCTTATACAATAAAGAAACTTGGGTCAGGTGTGGCGGCACATGCCTGCAATCATAGACACCTTAACCTTAGGTGAGGTGGAGGTCGGAGGACTAGAAGTTCAAGATCATCTTTGGCTACATAGTGAATTCCAGGCCAGCCTGGGATACGTTGGGATCTTGTCTCAACAAAACAAAACAAAACAAAACAAACTAGGGAGCTGGAGAGGTGGCTCAGCAGTTGAGAAGTTGAGAGAACTGGACTGCTCTTGCAGAGGACCTGGGTTTGGTTCCCAGCACCTACCTGTAACTACAATTCTAGGGAATCCAGCACCTTTTTCTGTCCTCTGCAGACACTAGTCACACACACACACACACACACACACACAC